GTGATGTCATGTTATTGTTGAAAAATAATTTTTTGTAATTAATAAAATAATTAAAAAGTATATTTATAAAAAAAAATAATATTATTATTAAACACTTTGGTTGTTGTTGTGGTTGTGGTTGTTGTTGTTGTTGGTTGTTGCATTTAATCAGATTTTTTAGAATTATCAAAAAAATTCATTAATGATTTTTTAGTCCTTTCGCTTAACGTTTCAATATCCGAATAATTAACGGTTAATGATGTTCTTCTTATTTGTTGTCTTTTTGTTGTTGTTGTTGTTGTTGTTCCGGTTGTTGCGTTTGTTGTTGTTTCATTTTCGCATTTTCCAAACATGTGAAATAAATTTTTAGTAAAATCAGGTGTGTCGAGGAATAAATCGGGTGTAGAAGGATTTGAATGACCGGCCGATGACAAAGTCGATGATGTGTCTGACAAATTTTCATTTTCCAACGTTGAGGGACTCTTGATTGACGTTTGATGAATGGGAATATCCCGATTTGAAAATTTGTATTTTCTTTTCGGCGTTAACCAATCTTTAAAAATAAATTTATCTTTATAATTTTCAACATCTGTCGCCATCGTTTTAAATCCCGATGCTATGTTCGAATAATATAACGAACTGTTGGCAAATGTTAATTCGAAATTCTCGTCGAACGATTGACTCTCGGATTTTGAATATTTTTTATGTATTTTAGATTTAAATGAATTTTTCCCATCGATATCGAAATTAAATGCAGAATCATCATCATTATTATTATTAATAATAATATCTTGCGAGGAATTCGTTTTTAATAGTTTATCCGACAATTTTCTTATTTCCTCGGCTAAATTGATACGAGTCGCGGCTTCGATTGCGTGTCTTGCCAAATAGGAACTATCGGAAGCTCTCCTGTCAAATATTTGCAAACGATCCAAGAAAAGGTTTCTCGGTGACGATGTCGGAGATAAATCTCCACTTTTTATAAATGATCTTCTCGGCGAGAGAGGTGGTGGAGATTCGGAAAAATCTGCTTCCACGAGTGACGATATCGAGTCGCAAGGTGAAGGTGAGTAACCACTCAAAGATGGCGTCCTACTACTCCTTCTATCTTGTATGTTGTTAAAAGAAACGCAGGGTGATATCGTTTGACAACTCGTGTCGAATATATACGGACTGTTCGGATGTTCGTTCCATCTTTCGACGAAAAACTTTAAATTATCCTTTGCCAAATCCAATTCCGATGGCGATGCCTCTATTTTGACAACCGTTGGAGTTTTCCGAATTTGAATGGGTGATTTTCTCCGGAGCCAAGGATGCGACAAACATTGAGCGGCTGTTAGTCGTTTCCTAAAATGTAGGCAGACAAAGACCCAGTGTTAATGATTGTCAAAAAAAAAAAAAAAGAACAAAAAAAAAAGTAAAAAAGCAAAATTTTTTCTTTTATTTAGCCGGCACATTAAATATAGAAATTGATGAGCAAGTGAAAATTTTGCAAATTTCACACTGGTGCATAAAATAATAATAATAATAATAATAATAATAATAATAAATAATACGGTGATGATATTTTTTTAATTAATGAATAAATAACGATATTTAAATTAAATTAAAAATTTAATTATTTAATGGCGGACGGACATTTTGTTTTTAACAATATTGGCATTAAAACAAAATTTTTTATATAATAACGCAAACAATAAAATTAGTAAATAATAATAATTTATTAATTACTAAAAATTTGTATTTAAAAAAAATAAATAAATGGGCTGATTTAAATCTTTTTCTCCAATTTATAACGGAAATTTATATAAAACTTTTTAGGGATTTTTTTTGTTTGTGCATAAATAAAACGCCATTTTTTTTTTTAAAAGCCAAAATCCCTTCAGACAAATGAATTATTTATGTCGAGGGAATTAAATATTATTTTGCACGTGATTTGTATAAAAAAAAAAAAAAAAGCTCAATTATTATAATGGATGATATTATTCCATCTTGCCTTTTAAACAAAAAAAAAAAACCGTTAGAAAAAAGCAACATGCCATCATAAAAAAAAAAAAAAAATTGAAGTATTTTGCATAATTAGAAGAAAGAAAGAAATTAAAAAAAAAAATTTCAGGTCTTTGTCTCGCCTAACACGAGATTTTCCGAGAAAATTTGATTTTTTATATATAAAATACCATTAAAATTATAGCACCAAATAGATTTCAGTCCGACCGATTGTTTTAATGTACAATTTTTGTTGTATTCTGTTGTTTTGAATAAAATTTGTGTGTACGTGTTGTTTTAATGTGCACGTGTATGTGTACGTGTGTATCATGGATACTCACTCTTTTTCTTTAACCAATAAATTCGATATGAAATCCTTTGCATTCTCTGATATTTCATTAAAAGCTTCATCATCAAAATCCCATTTTGCAATTGTTACATTTGCCATTGTTTCAATATCTGTTTCTCCCATGAAAGGAGATAAACCTGACAACCTGAATCGGAGAAAAAATATTTCCATAATTCTATTAATTAACGTTAATAAAAATAAATTTTAAAAAATGATAACTTGCATGACGTAACAAATGACGCCGATGCTCCACATGTCCGTTTCGTATCCGATCCTGTCAAAATTAACGACTTCTGGTGCCACGAATTCCGGCGTACCGAAAAGAACTTGTAATTTTTTTTCCGGATCGAATTTTCGCGCCAAACCGAAATCGATTATTTTAATACGATTTCCGGTTTTTGTTAGGCAAAGTATATTTTCCGGTTTCATATCTAAATGTAGGATGTTTTGTTTGTGTATGAATTCCATACCCTCGCATATTTGTCTCATGAATGCCGTGCATGATTTTTCCGTTAGTACGAAATCATCGCTTATAACCCTTTCGAAAAGTTCACCGCCTTCGATTCTAATTAAAAAACAAACAAAAAATAATGTAAACAACAAAAAAATTTTAAAAACTTAAGGTAAAAATTTTTTTTTACTCACAATTCTAAAACGACAACCATTGTTTTATCTTTTTCAAAAGCATCATATAATTGTATCAATCTTGGATGTTGAAGAGTTTTCATTATGTCAATTTCTCTTTCGACATTTCTTTTATCTTCTTTTCTACCTGTAGGTACAATTTTTGCCGCCAAAAAAAGACCCGTTGATTTTTCTTTACATTTATAAACCGTTCCAAATTTTCCCCTATTTAAAAAAAAAAAAAAAAAAAAAAATTATTAAGAAAAACTTTTAACTTTCTAACTTTTGTGTTTTTTTTTTTTTTTTTTTGGGTTTAATCCAACATATCTATCTGTTCTAGAATTTTCTGTAGGCGGCGGGATTTGTATTTTTTAATATTTATTCAAAAAATTTTCAAATGGTAAATCATGAGGGTCAATAAAAAAGTGTAACCGAAGAAAATTAAACGTCCCAACAAATTTTCATTTAATCTTTTTTTTTTCTATTATTATTATTTTTTTTTTTTTTGTTTTAAGACCTTGACTGCTTATTGCCAAACCTTCAAAAAAAAAATAAAAAATAAAAAATTTGGCACAGAATGAAAAAAAAAAATCCAAATACCTTCTTATTTAACAAAACAAAAAAAAAAAATTCATTATGATTTATTAAATAGAAATTTAATAAAACTAAATCAGTTAATTACACGAGTATTATTATTATTATCACCTAAATTATTTTCATTCATCATAATGATAATAATAATAATAGAAAACAAAAATGGTGGCCGATGTTAAAAAAACAATGTTAAAATTATTACTGATGTTCATCCATTATTAAAAAAACTTGACATTTAAATTAATAAATAAATAAATAAAAAAACAATAATTAATTTATAAAATTAAAGCCAAAAAAACAATTTTTATTTTATTTTCTTTTTGTTATTAATTATTTTAAAAAACAAAACAAAAATTTTTTAGCGTGACAAAATTGCACCATTTTTAAAAATAGATCATCATCATCATCATTATCCATCAATTTAAAAAAAAAAAAATTGTCAAAGGCCACGAAAATAAAAAATTTTTTTAAAAATCTTATGAAAAATATATTATTATTATTATTATTATTATTATTAAAACGAAATAAATAAATTATTATTATTATTATTTCTATATTTTAAACGAATATAATCCCAAGTGAGTAATCAAACCAAAAAATTTTTTTAACGGTTTTTTAACGGTTTTTTTGTTACCTTTTTTAAAATTAATAAAAATTATTTGGATTTTAATAAATATAATAATAATAATAATAATAAAAATTTCAAATTTTCATTGAATTAAAAAAATTTTATTTCATGCTAATGTTGATGATGATGATGATAATGTCAAGAAAATAAATATAAAAAAAAAAAAAAAAAAAAATGGAGTGTGACTCACTCACAAGACGGTTATTTATTTATTTTATTTATTAATTAATTAAATTTTATTTAAGAAAAGAAAAAGTAGTAATTTATGTAAATAACACAAATGATAAATAAAATTTAAAAGAAAAAAAAAAAAATTTTTTAAATTAAAAATTTGTTAATTTTTGGTTGAGAAAAAAAAAAGACAGAGAAGGGAGGGATGGAGGGAGGGGGGTTAGACAAAATTGAATTCAAAATAATAATAATAATAATAATAATAATAATAATACTAAAAAAAGAGCCAATTTTTTTTTATTTATGTTCAAATGATTTATAATAAATACTTGCAAATAAATCTACCAAAAATTTAAAAAAAAAAAAAAAAAACTCAATTTTATGCTTTAAATTAATGCAAAAAAAATTTTGTAAAAAAGAATCAACAAAAAAAAAAAAAAAAGTTTATTTTTACAATAATATTGTTTTGAACAAAAAAAAAAAAAATCTGGCAGTAATTTAAAAAAATTCTTTTTTTTTTAAATAAATTTAATGGCCGGTAAACTAATAATAATAATAATATTAAATTATAAATAAAAAAATTTCAATTAATGTTAATGATGATTATGATGATGATAATTTCCCTTTTAACATTATTATTATTATTATTATTGTTATGTTTGGGTGTTTTGCAAAATAATTGTTTGGTTATTTAGTTATTAATAAGTAATAGTAATAATAATAATAATTAAACAAACCTTCCAATTTCTGATTGTAAATCATAAAAATCTTTTATATCAACTCCTCTTCTTATGTTAACATCACGATATGGAAAACTTGGCTCCAATTCTATTAATAAATAAATAAATAAATTTAACAATGTACATTATACTTTTAATTTTTTTAAATTTGATTCAAATACAAATTGTTTATTTAATAAGAGAGAGAGAGAGAGAGAAAGAGAGAGAGTGAGAGAGAGAATGGGAAAAATTTACTTTTATCCTCAACAAAAGAAAATCCCTTAATAAAAATTTATTTAGTTTAATTTGAATTCCTTTTATTATTATTATTAATTTAACTTAATAAGGTGTATAATTTATGTAAAATGAATTTGGTTAAGTAAATAATTAATCTGAAGTAAAAAAATAATAATTATTTAAATAAAAAAAAAGGAAAAAAATTGTTTAAAAATTTACCTCCAACAGGATCATCTTCATCTATTTTAATCATAATGTTTATATATGTATATATAATTTTCACAAATATCTGAAACAATTATTTAATAAGTTAATAAAAATTTATTAATCAGACATTTTAAAAATTTACATTTTTTTAAATTAAACAAAAAAAAAAAAAAAAAAAAAAAATGTGAACATGAGGTTTTGAAATATTTGGCAAAAGGGCAAGAAATTTCTTTTTTTTTTTTTTATTATTTTTCCAAAATTTATAAATAATTTAAATTTTTTTTAATATTATTATTATTAATATAAATAAAAAATTGTATTTGTTAATTATTATAGTAAATACTTAACTTTTTTTTATTTTCAATTTTATTCATTCAAAAAAAAATAATTATTAATTTTAATTCTATAATTCACAATCTATTCATTGTTTTTTTTACAAACTTGTTGTTTTAGATAAAAAAAAAAAAGCATATCACTTAATCTAAATTATTAATATTATAATAATACCTGTTCATAAATTAAATTTTTATTTTATTTTATGGTTTCATTTGGAAAATCACTTAAAAAAAATATCAAAGAGCAATTTTTTTGTGTATTGCCAAATACACGCGACTTTTCTGACTGTAGGACTAATAAATGCTTAGCCATTAGTTCGGTCAGGGCGCCCTGTATAAAAATAGCATTAAATTTAAAATAGATTTTTTTTTTTTTTTCAAAATTTTAATACAATCAGCTTGAATGTGTAAAATCTTCAATTTACAAAACATTCATATATATTTTTGTCCTAATTAACTTGCGCATATTTTTTTGTTTATTTTGTCTTGTGTATTAAAACAAATATCAACGCCATTTAATTAACTTTTCTTTTTTTTTCTTTTTGAAATTTTTATCGTCAGTCTTAACATGTTAATGTTAAAATTTATGTCGCAGGGAATTATAATAAAAAAAAAATAAATAAATTCATTTATATATTTAAAAAATCTTTATATTAGAAATAAAGATGAAGTTTAATTTTGAAGTAAAATTAACGATAAGATTTCTGGTATCTGGCTCTTGCACCTGGACCACCAAATTTCTTCGGTTCGCACCTTCTTGGATCAGCGACCAATAGTGTTCTATCGTACTGAATTAAAATGTCCTTGATTTCTTTTTTAGAAGCTTCATCAACATCTGAAAATGGAGTTTTAATTAGAAAATTTAATATTTTTTTGATTTTTGTAATAATTTAAATAAAATGCTTTGATGAAGAGCTTACATTTCTGATAGTAAGCGACAAGTGCTTTAGAAATAGCTTGCCTAATGGCATACACCTGAGCTACATGTCCTCCTCCACCGACACGAATTCTCATATCTACACCTGAAAATCTTTCCTGTGGGCAAAAAATACAATCGATTATTTCTTTAAATAATTAATTCTTAAAATTTAAAAATATTTACAAAAATTAAAAATGAAATTACCTTTCCAAGCAATAAGAATGGTTCTTGCAATTTATATTGTAAAATTCTAGGCTCTATCATATCTAAGGGTCTTCCATTTACTCTAATGTTTCCTTTCCCTCTTTTACAATAAGCTACTGCTGTTGCTGTTTTCTAATAACAAAAAATTTTAATTAATGACATGTTAATATGTTACTAGACACGTGTTACGTTGACGTCGTGGTATTTCATAAAGAATAACCATTAAAAACCAACAGTATTGTAACAAAAAGTTTAAAACTTTTATTTGTAATGGTTTGAAGGCAAATTATTAACAATAACTCCACAGTAATTTGCGTTTACCGTAAAATATGGATTTAAATTATGGTGATAGCCACGCTAATTTTTTAACTTACCTTTCGGCCAAAGACTTGAACACTTTGGATCTTCTTCTTTTTCTAAAAAAAATTACAATAACATTATATAAATAATTAATAATTGATTAGAATTTTTAATAAAAAATAATAGTAATTTTCAAACCTTTTTTTCTGGCATTTTGATATTTTGTGAAATAATTAAATGAAATATGCGACCGGAAACACTATAAGAGGGTGATACTCATTTCTGCAAACTTTTGAAAACTTAAAATTTGATCGTAAAATCATCGTTAAGCATTTCAAGGAAAATTAAAAAATAATAAAATTTATTTATTATAATACGAACAACGTTTAAATTTTTTTCCAATGAATATTCAATTCGAGTAATTTTAATTACATTTTTCAAAAACAAAATAAATAAAAATTCATTATTTTTAATATTTTTGTTTTTTAAAAGTTGAACAAAATTTTAAGTTGTCAACACTGTTGCTAATTCACGTTTAGATAGCAACTCAAAACATTAGAGGATTTTGATATTGAAACTGTTTAAATTTATCTTAGTAAGTTTAATTAATTTTATCTTTTTTTTTTTTTTTTTTTTTTTAATTTTTAAAATTTTTTTTTTAATTAATTTTTTTAAAAAGCGAATATAAACAAATAATTAATAATAATTAGAAAATAGGTATGAAAAATAAAATATATTAAGGTCATTAAACTAGCTGTAGGCTTTTAGTTTTCTCTTCTTTTTTCTGTTATTTACCATTCGCGTTAAAATTTTATTTAAAAAGTTTAATTTTTTATTTAAAAAAAATACAACGGCTAATGTCGCATCTTCTATTAAATATCTACCTTTAAAGAAAATTTTTAATTACTTATTTGATATTATATAGTTTAAATTAATTATTTATATTCTCTTTTTTTTTTTTTTAATTTATTTAATTAGAATTCAAATAAGTTTTTTTTTTTTTTTTTTAAATATTAAATTGAATATAGAAAAATGTTAAATTGAAAAATGAATTCAAATTTAGAATAACTATTGGAAATAATAAAGTAGCCTTACGATCATTAATTAATAAGGGTTTAAAGTTTAAAAGTTTCATTTGCATGATTATTAGAAATTCATATAAACTTTGATCTTATTTTCAAGGTAAGGCTTTCAATAATTTTAATTGAATGTAACTTGTTATTAACATAAAAACATTAAATTTTTTTTTATAGATGCAAAAAATGGCTGATAGTTCAACAGATCAAAATAATGAAACCGAGCCTGGTTTTCAAAAATTAAAGGAACATATTTTTTTACATAAAATTGATTTCGCTTTATGGGTCACTAGAGTATTTAGTATTTTCTTTACCATAGGTTATTTTATTCCATTGTTTTGGTAAGTTTCTTTTCTTTTGATTTTTTAATCAATTTATTTAATTTAATATTGACAATTTAGTGTTCGATAAAACGATAACAATGAATACGTTTTTTTTTTTTTTTTTTTTTAGGAATCCATACTCATTGTATTATAAAACTTTAATGAGTAATGCATCTACAAGTGCTTTAAGGCTGCATCAAAGATTACCACAAGTCTCATTTACAAAGCAATTTCTTCAACAACTACTTCTTGAAGATAGTTGTCATTACCTGTTTTATTCAATTATATTTTTGTATATTGCTCCAATAACATGTATCCTTTTCTATAAACAGCCATGAATCATTTAAAAATTATCTAATTTTTAAATTAATGAATTTCAGTTATTTATTTAAAATGAATTTTTTTGGTTATTATAAAATAATTTTCTTATAAAATTTTCAGTGGCTTTGCAACCCATATTATTGTTTAGCATTCTCCATTCTGCAAGCTATTCTCTCACATTATTGGATGTAAGTGTTTAGAAAACATAAAAATATATTTCACTCATTATTGTTAATTTTTTTTAATATTAACTTAATAAAATTTATTTGCAGTGCTTAGGTCAAAATTCTTGGTGGGGTGCAAGGTTTCTAATATCGTTGGTCGAGTTTCAATCTAGAAACCTTTTAAAACTTATTTCATTCACAGAAATATTCCTTATGCCATTTTCTGTTATTTTATTGTTGCTGTAAGTACATATATTTGCAAATTTTTTTTTTCTTAATCGTTTTATGTCTTTTAAGAATTACTAAAACAATAATGATAAAATTTTTCAGAGGTTATGCAAATTTGTTTACTCCAGTATTCTATTATCAATTTTTATGTTTGCGTTATTCATCTCGACGAAACCCGTACACAAGAAATTTATTTCACGAATTGAGAATGCTTTTGGAGAAAACTGCATACAAACCTGGAATGCCCCAATTTGTTAGACAAGCTTTGTTGACTGTTGTTTCAGTTGCTTGCAAACTTGCCCCCAATGTTCACGTTCAAGAAAATTAATTAATTCCATTTATTGTTTTTATATTTAAGTTAGCTCATATTCATAGGTGAAATTATTTTATATATTATTGTTTACTTGTTTCCTCATTAATTAGCATTTTCTTTTTTTCATTTTTTTTTTTTTATTAAATAAATATAATTTTTACTTTATAATATTATTTGAAAATGTAAAAAATACAAATTCAAATTTTTTTTTTTTTTATAAAATTTTATTTGTTTAAATAAAAAATTGAAATGAATATCGAACAAAAAAAGCAAATGGAGGACAAATTAAATTTACTGGATCAACAATGATATAACTATTCTCTTTGTATTTCATTTGAAAATTTCACTTAAGAATTACTCGATTGAAATTGGTAAATTTTGGAAATATTTATTTAAATGAATATTTATATATATTTATATTTTTTTCCAGTAAAAAGAAATGTTGCTTGAATGTTGTTCTTGGCATAATCATTTATTGTTAATTGTTAATTTAGGTGTATCATATTTTGTACTTATTCTATAATAGGATAATAAAAAAAAAACAATGTTTTTCAAAAACTGGTTGTAATACTTTTTACATTAAAATGGATTATTGTAAATTTCTAATTATGATAAAGCAAAAAAATAAAAAAAAACTTTAATACTTTTGTATTGGTCGAGTTACAAATTTAGGGAAAATAATTTCAGACTGCACAAAATTTATTCTTTAAATAAATTCAAAAATGTAATTAAATATCAGTAATATAAGTATCTTTTTTTTCTATTTATTTATTTAAGGTAAAAATTTATGATTTTGTTTTATATTTTAAACCCTTTTATGCAAAGTTAAACTGTACATATAACTGTTAATCATAACTGTACTTCCAAATAAATTAAGTATTTCCTTTAATTAAAAATGATGAGGTAAAATTTTAATTTAAAAAAAAATAGGGCTGAACCTACTAAGCTAAGTTGAAAGGATTCATGAATTTAAAAAAAAAAAAAAAAGAAATTTATTTCAAAATGAAAATTTTATTAGTTGATATCAAATAAATAGATTGCATCCATTTTTACGTTGACTGACAAAAGTTGTATTAAAAATTTACCATAGACATACAATGGCTTCGTTTTGCGGTTATTAAATGAACAAAACGAAAAAAAATTTTTTTTCTATATATTATTAAATTGAATCTACGTATGATCGTATTTAGTTAATAATTGTTTTCGATCTATTTATGTAGATTTGGTTTAAATTACTTCTTATTAGTGTTTTTTTTTTTTATTGATTGAATACAATGTCTACCTTGTGGGGTGAATTTGATAGTCCAGAAATTTCTAATGAAGAAGTAATACCAGCCGAAATCGTTAAACTTTTTATTATGAAAGCAATGCAGCCAGACGGTCTTAGAACTCCTCTTTCACTGCCTCCAAAACCAGCCGAAGTAAAAAAGGAAGCAGTATCTGAAACGTTGGGTTTAGAAATGGATGACAGAGTTATTCATAGTATCAAACTTATTAAACATGCTAAAGAAATGTCTCAATTAATTGAAGCTGCCAAAGAACAAACGGAATTAATGTCAGACACACAAATTCAAAATTTTCCTCCAGCTTTAGATATCCCAGTTCACCCAATTAAGCCTCCTACATATAAGTTAAATTTGCCAATTCAATACATGGATAAAGAGTTTAGGTAATAAGAAATTGTATTTCAAAAAGAGTACCTACGAAACAACTGCATATTTATAATTTTGTTTTAAATATTTTTAGTGATTTCACTCTGGGAAAAGAATCACACATTCCTGAAATATCTACAAAAACTGCAAAAAAATTACTTAAGAAATCGACTGCAACTTTGTTGGCTCATGCAGGATTTCAAAACACTAAAGAATCAGTT